TAGTTTTTAGTTCAACCGATCTTTTGGGTAAAACCACCAAACAAATATTTTTTGTCTGGATCTACAGCTTGTTTTTGACATTTATTTATTTTGTGTTCCTCCCTTGCCGATGCAGGAGGCCGGTGCTGAATTCAGAAACCGAGGGAAATTTATAGACAGAGGTCCCAAACTCTAGGGACCGATGGATTCTCCGAGCGACTGCTGCTGTGACTCAGACTTTGGTAAAGCACAAACCGAGTCCTGTTGGTAAATCTTACCTCTATCAACAAACGTATAAAGAGAGATTTTGCCCAAAGTCACAGCTCTCGTTTTACTTTGACCCTCTCCGTCTTTCTCTGAGTCCTTTACTGTCTTTCACATCTTCTCAACGACTCACTGGAATGTTTTTTTGCTTTTGCTTTTCTTAAATGTTTGCCAAAATTACAATCGACCGGCGAAAATTGCTAACCAGCTACAGACAGACTCGTCAATCCACTGAGCATGTGCGATCCGTTTAGGGCGACCATTTTTAATTGGTAGAAACATCTTCCTTAATATCTTTAGTGTGTTTTCCAAATTGATTGACTGATTGCCACCCCCCTGACCCAGAAATGGATTAAAGGGTAGAAAATGGATGGATGGATGGATGTTTTCCAAATCCAAGTGAACACGCACAAGTTAAATATTATTCTGTAAATAACACACAGAGACATATGGAGAATACAGATGTTTGCAAGCCATATTTCTTGTTTTTGTCAGCTGTATCTTTTTCTATAACCCATTTCCCGGTTGCTTTTCCCCAGCGGAGTGGCCCGTCCTGGAGCAGAGCAGGCGGTGGCACGGCTGGCCTGTTTAAACGTGATGTAAACAGGTCTTGATGGATGGAAGCCTCCGTCCATCCGTCTTCCTCCGCCGCTCTGTCTGCCCCAGTGTCCGCCTGAAATACCTTAATCTTCACTAAACACAGCCCTGCCAAACGCTCCCATGCTTCACTTTAGCTGCAGCCATCGCCAAGTGCTCCGTGGAAAACCTGTACTTCTCAGATAGAGCCTGATAGTACGGCGGCGGGACGCGACCAGGTAAAAATACTGCCAAGAACCGATTGATCCACGAGACTAAACTAGATTTACTTTCTTAAACTAGAATTAGAGTTAGTTACAGATTTCAAAGACCTGGGATTAAACATGCATTCAACTCTTGTCTTGAGATGAATTTAATAAAGAATAAAAAATAAAAAATCAGCCTCAGTCCTGGGTCTACAGCCTGAGTCCTGGGTCTACAGCCTCAGTCCTGGGTCTACAGCCTCAGTCCAGGGTCTGTCCTGGGTCTAAAGCCTCAGTCCTGGGCCAGTCCTGGGTCTACAGCCTGAGTCCTGGGTCTGCAGCCTGAGTCCTGGGTCTGTAGCCTGAGTCCTGGGTCTGCAGCCTGAGTCCTGGGTCTACAGCCTCAGTCCTGGGTCTACAGCCTCAGTCCTGGGTCAGTCCTGGGTCTACAGCCTGAGTCCTGGGTCTGCAACCTGAGTCCTGGGTCTGCAGCCTGAGTCCTGGGTCTACAGCCTCAGTCATGGGTCTACAGCCTCAGTCCTGGGTCAGTTCTGGGTCTATAACCTCAGTCCTGAGTCTACAGCCTGAGTCCTGAGTCTACAGCCTGAGTCCTGGGTTTACAGCCTGAGTCCTGGGTCTACAGCCTCAGTCCTGGGTCTACAGCCTCAGTCCTGGGTATACAGCCTGAGTCCTGGGTCTTCAGCCTCAGTCCTGGGTCTACAGCCTGAGTCCTGGATCTACAGCCTCAGTCCTGGGTCTACAGCCTCAGTCCAGGGTCTGTCCTGGGTCTAAAGCCTCAGTCCTGGGTCAGTCCTGGGTCAGTCCTGGGTCTACAGCCTGAGTCCTGGGTCTACAGCCTCAGTCCTGGGTCTACAGCCTCAGTCCAGGGTCTGTCCTGGGTCTAAAGCCTCAGTCCTGGGCCAGTCCTGGGTCTACAGCCTGAGTCCTGGGTCTGCAGCCTGAGTCCTGGGTCTGTAGCCTGAGTCCTGGGTCTGCAGCCTGAGTCCTGGGTCTACAGCCTCCGTCCTGGGTCTACAGCCTCAGTCCTGGGTCAGTCCTGGGTCTACAGCCTGAGTCCTGGGTCTGCAGCCTGAGTCCTGGGTCTGCAGCCTGAGTCCTGGGTCTACAGCCTCAGTCATGGGTCTACAGCCTCAGTCCTGGGTCAGTTCTGGGTCTATAACCTCAGTCCTGGGTCTACAGCCTGAGTCCTGGGTCTACAGCCTCAGTCCTGGGTCTACAGCCTCAGTCCTGGGTCTACAGCCTCAGTCCAGGGTCTGTCCTGGGTCTAAAGCCTCAGTCCTGGGTCAGTCCTGGGTCTACAGCCTCAGTCCTGGGTCTACAGCCTCAGTCCTGGGTCAGTCCTGGGTCTACAGCCTCAGTCCTGGGTCTACATCCTCAGTCCTGGGTCAGTCCTGGGTCTACAGCCTCAGTCCTGGGTCTACAGCCTCAGTCCTGGGTCTACAGCCTCAGTCCAGGGTCTACAGCCTCAGTCCTGGGTCTACAGCCTCAGTCCAGGATCTGTCCTGGGTCTAAAGCCTCAGTCCTGGGTCAGTCCTGGGTCTACAGCCTCAGTCCTGGGTCTACAGCCTCAGTCCTGGGTCTACAGCCTCAGTCCAGGGTCTGTCCTGGGTCTACAGCCTCAGTCCTGGGTCAGTCCTGGGTCTACAGCCTCAGTCCTGGGTCTACAGCCTCAGTCCTGGGTCTACAGCCTCAGTCCTGGGTCTGTCCTGTGCTTCGCTAACGGAGGAGGATTCTACTCCTTCGTTAGTCCAAACTAAACCACGCTACGCTCTAGTTTCAGTTTCCATTTCCGCAGCTGCTGTTAAATGCAGAATGGTGTTGGTTCTTTCCCGTCTTTGCGGCGCATTTGGAGGATGTTGTTGAGGAAGTGAGCGTACTGTCGGGGGGGGCAGGGGCTCATGTGTTTGTGTTGTAATAATCCTCTGCCCCCTACTGGCCGGGCACTAGAACTACACAGTTTTTCATCCTCGTGTGAACGCTGTGTATTTGCATAAGTCTGCGCCGCGCCTCCGTGTGAACAGGGCCAATGGGAGTCTCTTTCTGTGCGGTAGAGGCCACAGCACATGGGGCCAGTGAGCGAGGAGCTAACGACGAGATAGACATTAGCACAAAGTTACCTTTTTTGTGACTTGAAAGTTAAAGACCTTATGCCGGGTTTGATTTACAGTTTTAATACCATTTTATATTTGAAGAGAACTACTAAAGGTTTCAAAATCAGTTGTTGTTTTTTTTGTCTGATCCCCCCAAATCAAAATAACCCCATAGCAACGCCCTTAGAGACGAAAAAACTTCACAGCCCTTGGTGACGTCAGAGTGGGTACGTTTCAACGCTGTAAGTTGTTTACAATTTGGTATTCGTTCTTTTTTTGCGGATATTCAAGATGACAAGGCCGTGTACAGCGAGTATGAGATTAGTACTACATTATAATATTTTGTTGTCACTGATATAGTCCAGTGGTTGTGTCGATGGACTGTCAATCCATATACTTGGGTTCGAATCCCACCTCAGACACTTTTTCACTCTCAAAACGGCAATTTATGTGTAGTGAGCAATTGTCACCTGTAGAGGGCAGTATTGTGTTGGGCATCAGTGGAGAGAAGAGAGAAAAGGCAGTCCTGTGGCATAGATCCATGGTTTTCAATGCATGGGCGTAACCCGCTGTGACGTCACACACAGGTTAGAGCATAGACAACTTAAATTCATGAAAAACACGTTCATTTTATAAAATATAGGATTTTTTTTGCCGGAATCTCTTTCAGTTTGACATTGTCATGCAATTTTGATATCCACTATTTTTTTTTTTTTAAACCCGTCATAAGGTCTTTAAGTACCCCAGCTTTAACACTGGAAATGTAAACGTGTAAAGCATCATATCATGTTTTAAATTCCTTTCTGACCAGTAAAGTCTCTCTGTGATTTACCGTCCGATCATCCTCCATTTTGTTTTTGCCGTCCCTCCCTCTCTCCCCGATGTAGGGCAGGAAGTCCATGGATTAAAAATGGTTGTTCAGACGCCGAGGGCCCCTGTCAAAAGGCGAAGGGAAAGTGGGCTGCGGTGATTGACAGAGGCCCCTGTCCTGTCAGGCTTATGTCAAATCTAAGAGCTTCTATTTGGAGCAGAAACCGGTGCTTTTATCCCGGACACGCAGCCTCCATTTTGTGAGAGATCCACAAAACCTCGTCTCCTGCAGAACTACATCATTTAATAAAACCAGTGCAAGGACTCCCAGGATTCTGAAAGCAGTCCTGGGTCTACAGCCTCAGTCCGTGGTCTACAGCCTCAGTCCTGGGTCTACAGCCTCAGTCCTGGGTCTACAGCCTAAGTCCTGGGTCTACAGCCTCAGTCCTGGGTCTACAGCCTCAGTCCTGGGTCTACAGCCTCAGTCCTGGGTCTACAGCCTCAGTCCTGGGTCTACAGCCTCAGTCCTGGGTCTACAGCCTCAGTCCTGGGTCTACAGCCTCAGTCCTGGGTCTACAGCCTCAGTCCTGGGTCTACAGCCTCAGTCCTGGGTCTACAGCCTCAGTCCTGGGTCTACAGCCTCAGTCCTGGGTCTACAGCCTCAGTCCTGGGTCTACAGCCTCAGTCCTGGGTCTACAGCCTCAGTCCTGGGTCTACAGCCTCAGTCCTGGGTCTACAGCCTCAGTCCTGGGTCTACAGCCTCAGTCCTGGGTCTACAGCCTCAGTCCTGGATCTACAGCCTCAGTCCTGGGTCTACAGCCTCAGTCCTGGATCTACAGCCTCAGTCCTGGGTCTACAGCCTCAGTCCTGGATCTACAGCCTCAGTCCTGGGTCTACAGCCTCAGTCCTGGGTCTACAGCCTCAGTCCTGGAACATACTTTTTGCCCAGTGCTCAGAAACAGACTTCTTTCCCATTCCTCTGAGACAGACTTCTTTCCCATTCCTCTGAGACAGACTTCTTTCCCATTCATCTGAGACAGACTTCTTTCCCATTCCCCTAAGACAGACTTCTTTCCCATTCCTCTGAGACAGACTTCTTTCCCATTCCTCTGAGACAGACTTCTTTCCCATTCCTCTGAGACAGACTTCTTTCCCATTCCTCTGAGACAGACTTCTTTCCCATTCCTCTGAGACAGACTTCTTTCCCATTCCTCTGAGACAGACTTCTTTCCCATTCCTCTGACACAGACTTCTTTCCCATTCCTCTGACACAGACTTCTTTCCCATTCCTCTGAGACAGACTTCTTTCCCATTCCTCTGAGACAGACTTCTTTCCCATTCCTCTGACACAGACTTCTTTCCCATTCCTCTGAGACAGACTTCTTTCCCATTCATCTGAGACAGACTTCTTTCCCATTCCTCTGAGACAGACTTCTTTCCCATTCCTCTGACACAGACTTCTTTCCCATTCCTCTGACACAGACTTCTTTACTATTCCTCTGAGACAGACTTCTTTCCCATTCATCTGACACAGACTTCTTTCCCATTCCTCTGACACAGACTTCTTTCCCATTCCCCTGAGACAGACTTCTTTCCCATTCCTCTGACACAGACTTCTTTCCCATTCCTCTGACACAGACTTCTTTCCCATTCCTCTGAGACAGACTTCTTTCCCATTCCTCTGAGACAGACTTCTTTCCCATTCCTCTGACACAGACTTCTTTCCCATTCCTCTGACACAGACTTCTTTCCCATTCCTCTGAGACAGACTTCTTTCCCATTCCTCTGAGACAGACTTCTTTCCCATTCCTCTGAGACAGACTTCTTTCCCATTCCTCTGACACAGACTTCTTTCCCATTCCTCTGAGACAGACTTCTTTCCCATTCCTCTGAGACAGACTTCTTTCCCATTCCTCTGAGACAGACTTCTTTCCCATTCCTCTGAAACTACCTCCGTGGCAGTGACCACTCTTTGGCCCGCGCTTCTTATCTTTGCTGAAAACGTGGGATTATCGAGCGGCTTTTGGAGGGAAAAAAAAACAGCTGCAGTTTCAGAATCTGCTTTGACTTTGAGAAATAGAGAAAGCGGTTTGTCCCGGGGCAGACGCGACCCTGGAGCACAGGCCAGAGATCGCAGAGCGGCTTAACGCAGAGAGAGAGGATTCCATTTGGACCAACGGTAAAAACTGGACTTCAGGCACTTTCTCTTTTTTGGGATTTTCTAAAAACGTCGGCGATGTGAGAGTCCAGGAGAGTGATTTTAGGATTCAGAAGGATCTAAGTGCCGCTGTGGATAGAGCCGGGGCATCAGGGGCAACAGGACTAGCTTTAGCTTTAGCCTTAGCTTTAGCTTTAGCGTTAGCTCGAGGGGAAAGTGAGAGGTTTATGTAACAAGGCGTTTCAAAATACACACCTTTGAATAAGTTACCACGTCATTTGCATTGACAAAATTGTTATCTGAACTTAGATGCACGGCTAATCTCAATTGATAAAACTGGAATCATTGCTATCAATCATTAACTTAGAAGCATTGCTAACCGCGATACGTGAAGTGATGTAGATTCATGGAATGGACTTACATGGAATTATTTTTATTTGCCATTGCTAGAAAATACTGTACATGCATGGTAAACCCCGATGAACTTAGAAGCATGGCTAACCACAATAAAGGAATTTCATTAGAAGCATGGCTAACCACAATAAAGGAATTTCTTTAGAAGCATGACTAATCACAATAAAGGAATTTCATTAGAAGCATGGCTAATCATAATAAAGGATTTTAATTAGAAGCATGGCTAACCACAACAAAGGAATTTAATTAGTAGCTTGGCTAACCACTATAAAGGAATTTAATTAGAAGCATGGCTAACCACAACAAAGGAATTTCTTTAGAAGCATGACTAATCACAATAAAGGCATTTCATTAGAAGCATGGCTAATCATAATAAAGGATTTAAATTAGAAGCATGGCTAACCACAACAAAGGAATTTAATTAGAAGCATGGCTAACCACAACAAAGACATTTAATTAGAAGCATGGCTAACCACAACAAAGGAATTTAATTAGAAGCATGGCTAACCACAACAAAGGAATTTAATTAGAAGCATGGCTAACCACAACAAAGGAATTTAATTAGAAGTTTGGCCAAAAAAATGAAATCATCTGAATCATTACTATTGTGTGTGTTCATGTGTGTGTCCCAGAGTGTGTGTGTGTTCATGCGTTTGTGTGTGTGTGTGTGCGTATTGGTGCATGTGTGTGTCTGTGTATGTGCCTGTGTGTGTATCAAATCCACCACAAGACCTGCTTCACGACTCCCACTGAGGACTCCTGTCGTTGTGTCCTTGGGCAAGACACTTAACCCCACTTTGCCTGAAGCCCCCACTGAAAGATCTCAGCTCCAGCAGAGGATCTGTGAGGGGCTGATGCTCTTTGTGCTGGGTGCAGCTCTGAATTCCCCCCCGACCCAGAAATAGATGGATGGAAAGTGAAATGAAATACCTCAGTGTAATTCTCCACTTCTGCCACTAGGCGGAGTTTTACCTATTCTCCACCAGAGGCTCTTTGCGACGTTCTGATGTCATGAACACAGCCTGATCCAGGCCTGAGGCTGTAGACCCAGGACTGATGCTGTAGACCCAGGACTGAGGCTGTAGACCCAGGACTCAGGCTGTAGACCCAGGACTGATGCTGTAGACCCAGGACTGAGGCTGTAGACCTAGGACTGAGACTGTAGACCCAGGACTGAGGCTGTAGATTTAGGATTGAGACCTCCTCAGTCTGGCCTGGAGGAGACAGTGACATCACAGGCCTCTGCTGTCCAGTTTGTGCGATACGAGAAACCGTCCGTGTGGCTCTGAGCTCTGCCTCTGTCTCACCATCAGGGTCCAGGACTCACTAAAAAACATTCACAGACACACAACAGTTGTGTGACTGTTTCACCATCAGCTCCAAACTCATGTGAACCATATTCATAGAATCATAAACAGTTAAAAGAGAGAAAATTGTCTGTTGTAGCAAAAAATATTAATGAAATCTTCTTTTATGAGTTTTTACCAGGATGATAAAACAGACACAAACAAACTTGTTTTTTAAATGTTTGAACATTTATTGAAAGCTTTTGCTAAGGGTGTGGTTTAGCTGAGGGGGCGTAGTTTAGCAGAGGGGTGGGGTTTAGCTGAGGGCGGGGTTTAGACCAGATGACTGCGGATGGTGAGGACGATCTCTTCGATGTAGTCCTGTCGGATCAGGCTGTCCAGAGTGACCCAGTTTCTGGGGCGTCCCAAGCAGAGGTCCCTGTACACCTTCTTGGACACCTCTTTGATGTGGACAGTGTCCGCTTTGACTTTGATGTTCCATTCGTTCATCTCCTGATGCAGCTTCTGCAGCAGAGCCGCAGACAGATCCTTCAGATCCACAAACTTGTTGGTCTGCAGGATGCGGGACCCCAGCTCGTACACCAGGCCCACCATGTGGCGGAGGTCCCACTGCTCACAGGGACCTGCAGGGACACACTGGACCTCCTTTTGGGGGTTTGCCAGCAGAAGAGCGAACTCCTCCAGGGCCTGAGCCTTCTCATCCAACTCAGACTCCTCCTCCTTCAGCTTCACCTCCTCCTCCTTCAGCTTCACCTCCTCCTCCTTCAGCTTCACCTCCTCCTCCTTCAGCTTCACCTCCTCCTCCTTCAGCTTCACCTCCTTGGGCACAGAGGCCTCCTGCAGAGTGTCTCTGGGGGGAGTGGTCCGTGAGGGACCACACAGTTTTCTTGCTAGTTCCCTCAGACAGTTGCTAGCGCAGCAGGAGCGACAGAAGGACTTGTTCTTCTGAGGTCGGGCCTCAGCCTTTGTGTCCTCAACGAGGACCGCTTCTAAAGGACCTCCTTCACCAAGTCGCTCCTCCAGGAGGAGCTCACCAGGAGCTGTGTCTGGGCTCCTCTGGATCTGGGAACCCTCACTCAGATCATCTCCCCTCACCTTCACAGCCTCCAGCTCCAGGAGGTCCTTCGCTCTCACAGGGTCTTCTGTCAGACTGTACAAAGAGGACTGCTGTGTTCGAGCCTGCTGCATCTGCACCTGCTGCTTCTCCTGCTGGAGGTCCTGCTGGGGGTCCCGCTGGAGGTCCTGTTGGAGGTCCTGGCTGTAGTCCTGCTCAGTGGACCTCAGTGGGTCCTGGCTGAAGTCCTGCTCAGTGGACCTCAGTGAGTCCTGGCTGAAGTCCAGCTCAGTGGACTTCAGTGAGCCCTGGCTGAAGTCCTGCTCAGTGGACCTCAGTGGGTCTTGGCTGTAGTCTTCCAGTCCAGGTTGTTCCAGGGACCTCAGAGGCCTGTCCTGAGGTCCAGGGCTGAACCGAGGGCAAAAACATGGGCAGTGCTTCCTCAGAGCCTCCATGAACCTCAGACGCTGGGAATTGATGACCTCCTCCTGAGGCTCTGTAGTTCTGGTCTTCTGCTGGTCCTGACCCTGGGACAGGGTGGTGTTGACCCGGTTGGCCACCTCCAGACTGGTCAGGTCCAGCACCTGGCTCTCAGACTCCTCACGTGGTCTGCAACATCTGGACTTGAACATGCGTCCCCACAGCACCTTCTTCACACTGCTCTGCGTCACAGCAGGAGCTTCTGCTGGACTTGTGCTGGATACAAGGCCCTGGAAGCTCATCAGAACCTCCTGACAGGCCGTGGTCACGATGTCCAGGTACAGCTGAGCAACCCTGGCTCTGGCCTCGCACTGAGACAGGTCTGCGGTCTCCATCGTGTCCCAGAAGGAGTGGACGAGAGGAGCCAGGTGCTGCTGAGAGATGCTGCTGAGGACCAGGTCTGAGCACTGTGTGGTCTGCTGCTTTATCAGGCCTGTGTCCTGTGTCTGCTGCTGAGAGGGCTCCATCTCAGCTCGTCCTGGTCTTCAAAGTGCTTTAGCTCCTGATGAAGGCCTCGCACAAACCTCAACTGATGTGAGTCTGAGGGAAGAGTGAGGACCAGGGGTTTCCACGGCAACACTCTCAAACATCAACACCTTTGAAAAACAAATCAAACAAATCAAAGCATAAACAATGAAGACGACACACTTTGAAAAACAACAGTATCACAAAGAGAAATGTCTGTATCTTTTTAAAACCAGATCATTTCACTTTGTCCCGTTGGAGAATCTTTTAAAATCGTAGAATCGTTTTAAAACTCAGTCAGAATCGGCTCAAACTAAAACACACATTTTAGCATTTTTTGTACATGTTTTCCACCTCTTGTTTGCAGCGTAGATAAACATCCCAGTGTTTTGCAGCCTCCGTGTTCAGACCGTCCTGTGTTTTGCTTCATCCGCCCACGATACATTATCATAAAAATCCATGTTTTCTGTAGATTAGAGCCGAGCCGAGCACCATACGTCTTCTTTAAACCCTCAGCTCCTCAAACTGCTCTTCTCAAACTCCCTCAAAGCATCCGACGGCTCACATCCTCCGCAGTGAAGCTTCCTATCGATTGTTTCACACACACACACGCACACACACGCACACACGCTCACACACACACGCACGCACACACACACGCACACACACACGCACACACACACACACACACACACACTCACCATATTTCATCTTTTCCTCCACTTGTGCGCCGTTAATATTCACACTCCCATTTGACAAACCGTGGGCGCTTTCCCTCTTTTTATCTCCCCCGCTGAACTCCGACTGTGCCGCGAAATCATAAAGAAAGACTCTTCTTGAAATCAGTCGGAGTAAATCACCGGTCCTCGGCACAACGGGCAAAATCGGGAGCAGCTAAAAATGCGCCGGCGGTAAATATTTCAGGAAAGAAAGTGCTCAATATCTCGCCGCGCGGTGAAATGATCCGTCTTTCTGCTGCCAAATAAAGCTTTCACGCCGTAACTCTCCGGGCGGTTTCTCCTTGTAGTCGGAGTTTTGCGGGCGCCAGATTGTGAGTAACATATTGGCGGGGTCAGCGTGGACGGCGTTACGGCAAAAGTAGGGAGTTTAAGATGAAAGCAAGTGAACAAAAAAAGTGACATAAACAGCCCCAGGTCTAAGTTTCCATGCTTTGGTCCAAACGCAGCGAGTCACAAGTGTCTCTGAACTCATGGTTTTACACTGGTCCAGACCAGAGCAGAGAGGATTCATGTTCATTCACGAATGCGCCATGTCTGTAATTTGTAAAGTAATAATTCCGCCGCAAATGACCTCCTGTATTTGTCCGAACACAGACTGTGATGAAACTGATCCTGTGAACCTGCATGTCAGTGATTGTGATCGCCATTGCCGCTTTCTCTTGACTTTCTGCGTTGTTTTTAGGAGGAGTCAGAGGAGTTGCGTATCACGGCTGTGTACACAGCTGCAGAGTCTGCTGCTGTCTCTGTGAGGTCTGTGGAGAAGTGTAGAGGACAGTGTAATGTGTTCACTGACACTAATGAGACCGATGGGTTGTGTTTGTATGTTTACTCTGCACTCTGTCCTACTACAGACGTGTTGCTGCAGCCGTTACTACAGTATTTGTCGGCTTGCGCGTATGTTAGCAGAGTATGTGGGGCGTTCACGGGTAGTCCGTACACAAAGTATTGTTTAAACATTACAGAAAGTACAGGCCAGAGAACTGTAGAGCAGTAAAATCCACATGTATGTGTTTGTCTTCATGGTCCCTGTGTCTGCTGTGGTCAGTCACCAGTCTTTATGAACTGCATGAAGCGGAAAGACCTGCGCACGTGCAGCCGTTATGTCAGATGTCAGTGAAAGTTACAGACATTTCTTATCCCGTGCGAATGCGCTCTCAGATCTCAGACCTCCTCCGTGATTATCACAAATTACCAGGGGTCCACAGGTAACACTAATCCCGTCCGAATAGGGCTTCAGACACTTCAGACTTTGTCGTCTCCTTTGGTCCTGATTCCACAGCAGAGTCAGAGACACGGGAAAGGCTATATATCCAACATATAAATAAATACATGTATTTATTTTAATGAAGACGGTAAATGTTATGACACATTTTTTACAGGGGTTTAACGGTAACCGTGACAACATAGCGGTGTGGCAGGAGCGCTGTCGTGTGTTCTCCCGGTGACACTGGGGGGAGTCTTTCTAATGTGGTTTTACTGCACGACAGTAGCTCAGTTGGTAGAGCATTGGCCTTTGAGCCTGAAGGTCGTGGGTTAGAGCCCACCGTAAGACCTACTTCACGACTCCCACTGATGTCTGCTGTCGTTGTGTCCATGGGCAAGACACTTAACCCCACTTTGCCTGAAGCCCCCACTGAAAGATCTCAGCTCCTGTGGACTCACCACCTGCAGGAGGATCAGTGAGGGGCTGGTACTCTGTGTGCTGGGTGGCATCTCTGGCCACCCCCCCGACCCAGAAATGGATTAAGGGGAAGAAAATGGATGGATGGATGGATGGTTTTACTGCAAATGGCAGTGAATTCCTGAATCCCGGCTGCACACGGCGGCGGTTGGTGCCGATGGAGGCGCCGTCTCCGCCTGCTGCGGTCTGATAACACACGATCCTTCTAATAAAAGGCGTCTCGCAGGTCCTTCTCCACTCTCTACTTTTTATCTTTGTTTTAACGTGATGCAAGAGGAGCACAACGTTAGCAATTAGCTAATGGGATGTAGGTTTGTCTTGTTCCTCTGGTGCAGGGCGTTGGTGCGGAGGTGTCGGCCTTGACCATCCAGAGCCGCAGATAAATGAGTGAGATTAATTTGGTTTAATAATGTGTTTGATTTTGTGTTTTGTTATCTGTGGGTTTGACGCCGCGCTCGATTAGCAATCACGCTTTTATATGTTTTTTTTTTTTTTTCAAGATTCCAGCCGTGTTACATTGACCTGGGTTTTTTATTTTAGCTCCATCCATGCATTTTTTGTTATGCATCATATTACAAAAAATGCATATACAGCATATCCTCTGTAACAGTCTCTCTACAGCTGCAGACGACAGATGTTATGGTCTGATTCCTTCACAACCATTATTTACGAAATATCACAGCTTATATCTATCTTCACCACACCCCTACGCAGCCCGGTCCCTCCAGAGGTGACGCAGCCCGGTCTGTCCAGATGTGACTCAGCCCGGTCTCGGTCTCTCCTGATGTGACTCAGGAGAGACCAAACTCATGTGGACTCGTTGGGAGCAGAAGAGGGACTGTTGTGTTTGCTAAATTACAAGAGCTAGAATTAATGAGTAACTTCCAAAAACATTTTAAAAGGTCAGAGTTACTCATAAAGCCCCTTCGCTCCTGGTCCTAAAGTACAACTCTGAAACTAAAGCCTTCCCAGATCACCGTAGTTTATCTCGAACCCAAAACCATGCGTCCATTTTTCAAACAAAGACTTTGGCGTTATGTTTTTAAACGCACTGATGATTATTGATTTTTTCTTTCTCCAAATACATTGTGGCCTGTTTTTCCGGCGGTGCAGCCGTGGCCTTTTCCCCAGACAATGTGGAAACTTCTTAATCCACTTAAATGTTGCCCAGCGGTCGATGGTCGATGGGAGCGTGAATGTGACCGCCACGGCGCAGGTAAATGTCACCGTGGCAACGCGCTTTTTAGACAAGGCTAATTTTCCAACTGCAAAATAATGGAGCTTTTTTAATCAAATCCATCGCAGCTCTTAAAACAGTTGGATTAGATCTTTAAGCCTCCCGAGTTATGGGCTTTTGCCACGAAAAAAAACTGTAATGAACTTTGATCTGCCCTGCGGGATATACAAATAAATGTGCCTTCATTTTGGGTTTTAATCATAGACTAAAGAAAAACACCACTTTTGGACCAAGAACCACTTTTGGACCAAGGACCACTTTTGGACCATGAGCCACTTTTGGACCAAGAAGCACTTTTGGACCAAGGACCACTTTTGGACCAAGAACCACTTTTGGACCATGAGCCACTTTTGGACCAAGAACCACTTTTGGACCAAGAACCACTTTTGGACCAAGAACCACTTTTGGACCAAGAACCACTTTTGGACCAAGAACCACTTTTGGACCAAGGACCACTTTTGGACCAAGGACCACTTTTGGACCAAGGACCACTTTTGGACCATGAGCCACTTTTGGACCAAGAACCACTTTTGGACCATGAGCCACTTTTGGACCAAGAACCACTTTTGGACCAAGAACCACTTTTGGACCAAGGACCACTTTTGGACCATGAGCCACTTTTGGACCAAGAACCACTTTTGGACCAAGAACCACTTTTGGACCAAGAACCACTTTTGGACCAAGGACCACTTTTGGACCATGAGCCACTTTTGGACCATGAGCCACTTTTGGACCAAGGACCACTTTTGGACCATGAGCCACTTTTGGACCAAGAGCCAATTTTGGTCCCTGAGCCATTTTTGAACCAAGAACCACTTTTAGACCATGAGCCCCTGTAAAGACGTTTTTGAGAGGAAAAAAGGCGTCGTAAGAATCCATTGGGTAATTCTGTATCCGGGTACACCCCCACCTGCACAGACTCAGACTCCAGACATGTCAGCACACATGCTCATGGACCTTTTGGAGCCGGGACCAGCCCAGACTGGTTCTAACACGATCTTGAGGCTCTACGATGTAAAAAAAACATGAGACATTTAGAGTCAACTTGTCTCAAAGTCGGGGTTTGTCCTGTAAAGTAAGTTCGGAACAAAACACTTAGTACACACTGGTCTCTGGTTTATGACGGGAGTGTTCTAGAAATATCTTACAATAAGTGAAATCCTTGAAGTAGCAGCTGTGTGACTGGACAATTACTGACTCTTTGTACAGTCTGACAGTGGTAGGAATGAAGGCCCTGCAGTAGAGCTCCTTCCTGCACAGGCCCCATGTCTGTGTAGGTTTCCTCCGGGTGCTCCAGTTTCCCCAACCACTAAAAACATGCACAATAAGTCAGAATGTGATGAG